GTACACCTCCACTTCAGTTCACAGAGTTATATGGCTGTTCTTCAGCATATGATTTGACCCCCTAGACTATCCCCACCTTCCATAAATTAGCTATCTTGAGACCCACAGGAGAAAGATAGCCAACTGCCAAGTATGCAAATATATAGAGCATACATGAATAGATTGCATTTTGTGCTTGCATGTATTTTGAAAATGCGTGTGTATTTTGTACTGTATTTGTGATGTAATATATATATATATATGTATTATACACATATATATTAGATCCTCCACAAGCTACTAGAACCCAGGATGTTTGCACATGCTAGGCAAGCACTTTACCTATGAGGTGCAAACTCAGCCAGAGAAAGATTTAAATACTTTAAAAATTGTTTTGAAACAGGGTTTCTCTCTCTGTAGCCCTGGCTGTCCTGGAACTTGCTCTGCAGACCAGGCTAGCCTGGAACTCACAGAGATTCACCTGCCTCTGTCTCCCAAGTACTGGGATTAAAGGTGTGCGACACTGCTGCCTGGCAAGACATCTTTTATTTTGTGGCTTTGGGAATTGAGCCCAGGGCCTTGTATGCCATAGGTACATGCCAAGCCCTTGGGTTTTTTTGAGTTGGGGTCTTATTAGTCTAAATTGGCCTGGAACTCCTGATCCTCCAGCTTGCTCTGTAGGTGCACACCACCATACCCTGCCAAATTTTCACTTACGGGATAAGAAATGGATTCCTGCAGGGCGTTGGGGCGCATGCCTTTAGTCCCAGTACTCGAGAAGTAGAGGCGAGTGGATTTCTGAGTTTGAGGCCAGCCTGATCTACAAGAGCTAGTTCCAGGACAGCCTCCAAAGCTACAGAGAAACCCTGTCTGGAAATGTTGGACCCCAGCCCCCACGGGGTCTCTGTGACTGCATTGTCCCAGGTGTCTTCAATGTTGGATCACCTGGCTATTGCTTCAGGGGGTCTTGCTTCATCAAACCATATTAGTCTGAAAGAAATCCACAGCTTTTCATTTTCTGTGGAAACAAAAGCAGAAATTCTTTTCCCAAGTAACCTGTCCTTATACTTAAAATTAGAAGTCAAAGCATTTTTAAAATACGTAAGTTGAATTAATCCAGCAGCATTTATAATCAAATATCTGTTAGCAGCGTTTGCTCTTTCCTTAGCAATTGAACAATTCAAAGACGGCACAATAGCATACAGTATCCGGACTCTCTGGGTATTTTCTTTTTTTATTATTCTATTTTTTTACTTCATTTTCTATCTAATTTTTTTTTTACTTTTCATTTTCTGTTTTTTACTTTTCATTTTCTTTGAGACAGCGCTTCTCTATTTCCAATCCAACTCTTAAGAATTGAGACACCAGTACCTTTACCAATCCAGCTCTCTCAAGAGCCAAGGTACCCACTTTCCAGTACCTTTACCAATCTACCCTCATAAACCTTCCTTGCTGGCCAGCCTTCTGAGGGTGATCTCTCAGGGTCCCCTTTTTTTCCCCATCTGAGTGGAACCTCCACTTGTGGCGTCCGCACCATGACTAAGTCCGAGTATCAGGAGAAAGCCTGGAGATTTAGTTAAAAACAGAGACATCCGACTGCTTGTGCTATGTGCCTGTCCAACTTTATTCGTTTTTCTTATTCCAGGAGGACAGCAGCCTTACAGAACAGTGGAAAAACCCTAGGTGGAAGAGCTTGTGGAAGAAGAGCTCGTGCTTTCCCAGGTGTGGTGGGGCGAGGCCGGGGCTGTCAGCCAGGACTAGAAAACAGGATGCACCTGTGGTTATTGGCTGACAAGCAATTCACAGAGACCCTGTGGGGGTTGGGTCCCAACATAAAAATAAAAAAAAAAAAAAGCAATGGATTCCCAGCATGCCCTCTGTGGCCCTCATGCCTCTCCTCTCTGCTCCTGTGTTTCAGGCAAACAAATGGATTCCCAGGAGAACCTCTCCCCCCATCCTCATGGCCCTGAACAGACCTCAGATACCCTTAGCTCTGTTTGTCCTTCCATACCTCATCTATCCCTGAACCCCCACTTCCGAATCCTCTGAGGAAGGATACCCCACCCCACCGTCCCTGAGACAGAAGAAATCTGATCATTCTTTGCCTCCCCACTCATTATAGGATAGAGACTTTAAGAACTTTTGTCCCAAAAACAAATACAAAACTCATTTAATAAATTCCATCCAGATCTGTTATCTCACTTCTGTGTGGTATGAAATATCTTTCCCAAATAAAATAGGTGGGCTGATGTGAGATGGGTCTCTCTGTTGCCCAGACCAGCCACAGAACCCCTTGGGCTTCAGGGAACCTCTGCTCAGTCTCCAGAGGAACTGGGAACATAGCTGCACTTAGCCAAGCTGTTTCTGGGCTTGAGGTTTTGTTTTTGTTTTTTTTTGTTTTAATGTGACAGGGTCTTACCTACTAGGCTGCCTAGGTTGGACTCGAACTCCCGTTCTACTGGTCACCTTTATGACTGTGACAAACACATAAAACAGGAAGAAAGATCTGAGCTCACCATTTCCGTCCTTATCTCTTGTTTCAGCTGCTGCTGGCCTGCAGTAGGACAGTGTTACACAGGTGTGCACAAGAGAGAAGTTTACCTCAAGGCAGCTGGGAGCAGAGAGAGGAAGAAGGGGGTCCAGGGTCCTTATGTCTTCCGAGGGTGTTACCCAGTGATGTAACTTTTATTAGGCCACACCACTGAAGGTTCCTAACCATCCCCACGGTCCTCATCTGGACCAAGCTGTCAACACGTGAGCTCTTAGAGTGGCCACAGCTGTGTCACGTGCAGACACACCCACACAGATAACAAACTGCAGTACCTGAGCTCAGCAAGCCTCTGGCCTCGGCTTCTCAGGTAGCTGGGACTACAGGTATGTGACATCATACCTGTCCCAGCTGGCTGGTTTTAAAGCCTCTTTTTCAATTCATTACCTTTTGAAGATTTGTATTGTTTTAATTATGTGTCTCTGTGAGAATGTGCACATGAGTGCGGATGCCCTCAGAGACCAGAGACTTCAGATCTCCCAAGGGGCAGTTACAGGTGGCTGTGAGCAGCCTGACTTAGGTGCTGGGAAAAATCTGGTTCCCTAAAACTCCTGTCCCCTGGAAGAGCAGCAAGCATTCTTAACTGCTGAGACATCTCTCCAGCTTCCAAGGTTGGTTGTTTGTTTGTAGAGATTTTACTTTTAGAATGATTGAGAAAGCTGAATTCCCATCTCTCTTTCTCTACCACATAGTTTTGTCCTGTCATTATTTTGCATCTGTGGGATGTTACAATTGATGAGTCAACACTGACACTCCTTTCTTTCTGTCTCTTTTTTCTTCCTTCCTTCGAGTTATATTTTATTTGTTAGGGTTTTTTTTGTTTTGTTTTTTTTGTTTTCGTTTTGTTTTGTTTTGTTTTTGAGACAAGATTTCACTGTGTAGCCCTAGCTCTCCCAGAAGTCGCTCAGTAGACCAGGCTGGCCTCAAGAGATTCACCTGCCTCTGCCTCCTCAAGTGCTAGGATTAAAGGTGTGAGCCACCACTGCCTGGACTTCCTCACGTAGCTCAGTGTGGTCTCAAACTCACTATGTTGCAGAGCATGCCACCACACCTGGTTTACGCAGAGCCAGGGATCAAACCCAGGACTTTGTGAATGCCAAGCCAGCATCCTACCAACTGAGCCGCATCACCAGTCATACTAAACATTATTAACTGAAGTCATAGCTTGCACCAGGGCTCAGTGTTTGAATACTGTTCAATGCCATGTATCCACTATTACCATAAAGAACAGCTCCATTGTCCCAACAGCGCCCTGGATGCCAACCCCTTATCCCTCCTCCTCACCCCCAGCCCCAGTGACTACTGGTCTTTATCTTGTCCATCATCTTAACCTTTTCCAGAACGCCATATTCTTTTATACACCTGAACATTTTGGAAGTTAAAACAGTAAATAATTCCATTAATTTTCTCCCAGCTGGGCAGTGGTGGCGCATGCCTTTAATCCCAGCACTCAGGAGGCAGAGATAGGTGGATCTCTAAGTTCGAGGCCACCCTGGTCTACAGAGCAAATTCCAGGACAGCCAGGACTACACAGAGAAACTGTCTCAGAAAAAAAAAAAAAAAAAGAATTATTTTTCCCACCTTCTCCCTAGTCCTATAGACTCTTACCCCAAGGACACCACTTCTATTAGTTTCTGAGACTTCATTTGGGTTATTTATAGAAACATATACAAATAAAAATATACTTTCATTTCTCAATGTATAAGCACAGTTATACATTGATCTGTATCTTGATTTCTTTCACTTAATTAATCTTAAAGTTCTTTCCATAACAATACTTACACTGTCTCTTGTTCACTGGTGTGTACTGGTGCATTGTATGACAAACTAGATTTTGTTTTAGCAAGCTCCAGAAGACAATCAGTTGTATTATTTGGAAAAAAGTACAGGGTGTGTACCCTGGGCCTCAGTACTTGAGAGGCAGAAGGAAGAAGAACCCTGTGAATTTGAGGCCATCCTGGTCTATGCAGAGAGTTCCAGAATAGCCTGGTTTACATAGTGAGACCCTGTCTCAAGAACAAAACAAAAAAGCCCACTAAAGTTATAGAAAGAATGGGTTAGAAATAGGTTAGTGGCTAAAGTGACCCTGCAGGGAGGTGGCAGGAAAGGCTCAGAACAGCTGCAGGAGGTGACAATGACCAACCCACCTCACCTGCTACATTGCAGCTTTCAGATATCGGCCTTCTGTCTGGCCTAGGCTCCTGACAACCCGAGACCAGGATCCCCTGTCTCAGTTACAGCCCATACCTGGAGAAGTGAAAGTGACAAGGCAAATCCAGGGGCAATTTCTTCACCAGTACTTCCAAAAACAAAAACCAAAGCCACCATTTACTATTTTTTCTATTTTTACTATTTTTTTCCAATAGTTAAAGCTGGGTTAAAAAAAAAAAAAAGGGCAGTGGTGGTGCACACCTTTAATCCCAGCACTCAGGAGGCAGAGGCAGATGGATCTCTGTGAGTTTGAGGCCAGCTTGGTCTACAGAGCAAGTTCTAGGACAGTCAGGGTTACACAGAGAAATCCTGTCTTGAAAACCCCCCAAAATAATAATAATAATAATAGTAATAATCCAGTTCCTCGGCCTTTCCCAATGTACAGTGCTCAGTAGCCACAATAGCCAGTGGGCTCATCCTGGATGTACAGCTCTGAAACAGCAATGTAAACGCAGCATGTTCTACTTCTCGTGGGACTATTAAAGATGAGGGGACGGGCTGAGAGACGGAGCAGCAGAGAAGGGTACTTGGTTGCTCTTGTAGAGGATCGGGGTTCAGCTCCCAGCACCCACAGTGTCTGTAACTCCAGTTTTGGGGAATCAGATGCCTCTTCTGGCCTCCAAAGGCACCAGGTACAGTTGTGGTGTGCATACATACAAGCATGCAAAACGTGCACATAAAACAAAACATTTTAACTCTAAAAGGAAAGACTTTTAAGAGAGGGAAGGGGGGGTGGTCTGGCAAGATGGCTCAGTGGGTTAAAGTATTTGCCATCAAGTCTGGTGACCTGAGTTCAAGCCCAGGACCCACAAGGTCGAGGGAGAGAATTGACTCTGGAAGGCTCTCCTCTGCCCTCCAAAGGTGTGACACACACAATAAGTAAGTAAATGTGTGGCAAGGGCAGGTTTGGGGGTGTATGCCTTGTAATCTCAGTATTTGAGAGACTGAGGTGGGAGGATCTGAAGTTTGAAACCAGCTTGGGTTACCAGAGAGAACTTACCTAGATAAAAACAAATGCTGAAGGTGTTAACTTAGTAGCATAGCATGTATTTAGCATATGTCAGATCCTGTGTTCAATTTCCAACACTAAAGAAATGCAATAGAATAACAACTAAAATATCTAAATGTAATCTGTGGTCCCAGATCAGATATATTATCCAGGAGGTGACAAACAATTGACAAAATCTGAATGTGGGCTGAGATTAATGTAAACATGGTTAGTTTCCTAACTTTTTAAAAAAGATTTCATGTGTATGAGTGTTTGTTTGAACACACATACACACAGAGCCATGCATGCATGCATGAGCTCGAGCCTGTACACACACACACACACACACACACACACACACACACACACACACACACACAGAGAGCAGTAATATTGGAGGCCAGAAGAGGGCAGAGATAGTCATAGATAGTCAGTCATAGATAGTTGAGAGCTGTCATGCCATATAGGTGCTGGGAACCAAACAGGAGCCTCTGCAAGAACAGGGGCTCTCAACCACTGACCCAGCTCTCCAACCTCTAACTTCCAGACTTTACAAAATCACACTGTAGCTGTATAAGAATTAATGTTTACAAGAGCTTCGTTCAGAACACTTGAATATTCTCAGTACTGTTTTGCAACTTTGGTAAGTCTGGAATGATTTCAAGATTTAAAAAGATCAAGAATATTTTAAAAAATTCTATATCCAATTACCCAATTAGAGGGAAGAAAAAAGACCGCCTCCTGGACAGTCAACATATACAAATAGACTTATCCATACAAACAGCTGTGGGATCAGCATGGCAGTGTCTGCCTGTTTGGCATTAGAGATTAATGCATTGTCTTTAATGGCTGAAGGACAACCCCATTGGAAGGTGATGAATGAAGCCCTTCCTGAAGGCTGGGGTTGGAAGAATGCTGGTTTGATACCGCTTGATCTGTGGTATGACCTGGACAAGCTGTTTCTCCTTCCTGGACCTCAGGACCCTATCGGTAAAGACACCCCTTGCACCTCAAGGGGGTGCTTCCTGATGTTCTAAGATAATGGAAAAGAAAGAGGACTGAGAGGCCTGGGGAGACAGCTCAGTCTGCACACTTGCCATGCAACATAAGGACCTGAGTTTGACCCTCAGAACCCACACAAAAACCAGGGCACAGTAGCACATGCTTGTAAGGGGAGGCAAGACAGGAGGGTCACTGGGCTCATTGGCCAGCCAATCTAGTTAGGCCAAAGAGAGGCCCTGTCTCGGAAACACAAGGTTGTTTCAGGACTGCCAGGAATATAGAGAGAGACTCGGTCTGAAAATTAAAAACCACGAGATGGACAGTACCTGAGGAGGAATACCCACTCGCCAAGTGTCTGAGGAGGAACACCCGCTCGCCAAGTGCCTTCTGGCCTCCACACACGTGTGCTGTAAGTACACACGTATGCACCCTCAGGAACACAACAAAGCAAGCTGAGAGCTGCAAAGGGCCACACTGCTGGGATAGGGTGACCCAGAAAACCTAGAATAAACACATCTCCCATCCTCCTGCTGGGGTCTATGGTTCAGTAGATGCAGCTGGAGGTCTGTGCGCAGGGACTGCTCTGAAAGCGCTTATGGAGAGCCTCTTCTGTGCTGTGGCCTCGAAGTGTTCCCACAAGGTCACATGGCTGTACACCTCCTGGGGGTCCTGGGCTCGCCATTTGCCATCTTCCTGGTTCTTTCTGTGGAACATAAGACTCCTGTTGCTTGAGTTGCATCAGTTCTGCCTCCCAGGGTTGGTGTGTGTCCTAATTTTCTGTGAGCTTTTCGATAGGGAAGACATGATTGCTGTTCTTAAGAATATTTGGGAGGGCTGGAGAGGTGGCTCCGTGGTTAAGAGCACTTGTTGCTTTTCCAGAGGACCTGAGTTCTGTTCCCAGCACCTGCATGGTGGCTCACAGCTGTCCCTTCCTGGGAATCTGACACCTTCTGACACACATGCAAACATGCAAGCAAAACACTCAGACATAGATAAAATAAACATCTAAAGATTTTTAAAAGAATATTTTTGGGGAAAAGATGTGGTGGCCCACACCTTTAATCCCAGCATTGGGAGGCAGAGGCAGGTGGATTTCTGTGAGTTTGTCCCAGCTTGGTCAACATACATTCCAGGCCAGCCAAGAGTACATAATGAGACCCTGTCTCAAAAAGGCAAAGAACCCCAAGACATTAATAACAAAAATAACAATAAAAAAACTGAGTTGGGCAGTGGTGGTGCACATCTCTAATCCCAGCAACTGGGAAGCAGAGGCAGTCAGATCTCTGTTCAAGGCCAGCCTGGTCTACAAAGCTAGATCTAAGACAACCAGGACTGTTATGCAGAAAACCCTGTCTCAGAAAACAAAAAAACAAAAAACCAACCAAACAAAACTGTTAACATCTTATTTTATTACTTATGTAAGTACCTCAGGCCAATAATGAAAGTAATTTTACAAACTTAGAATTTTTCAAAGAACTTGTATGTGGATTATTTTGAGACAAGGTCTCACTACAAAGCCTTAGCTGGCCTAAAACTTGCTATGTAGACCAGGCTAGTCTGGAACTGGTAGTGATTTCTCCTGTCTCTGCCTCCTGAGTGCTGGAATTAAAACCTAGATGTCTTTTGTTGTTTAAAGATTATTTTGGAAATGAGGTCGAGGACATAGCTCAGCTGGTGGAATACTTGCCTAGCAAGTTCATCAACCAAGCCCTGAGATCTCTTCCCAGCAACTTATAAAATGTCTGACACTCACCTCTAATCCCAGCACTTGTGAGGCCGAGGCAGAGGAACACATGTTAAAAGTCATCCTGAGGGCTGGAGAGATGGCTCAGAGGCTAAGAGCACCATCTGTTCTTCCAGGGGTCCTGAGTTCAATTCCCAGCAACCACATGGTGGCTCACAACCATCCGTTTATGAGATCTGGTGCCCTCTTCTGGTGTGCAGATATACATGGAAGCAGAATGTTGTATACATAATAAATAAATAAAATCTTTAAAAAAAAAGTCATCCTGAGCTACAAATGGAGTTTGAGGCTAGCCTGGGCTACATCAGACCATGTTTCGAAAGAAAGAAAGAAAGAAAGAAAGAAAGAAAGAAAGAAAGAAAGAAAGAAAGAAAGAAAGAAAGATGCTCTTAGAAAACAAAACAAAAACAACAACAAAAAGCTATTCCCTAATCCCTCCACCCTGAAATTACTGTGTGTGGGCTGGAGGAGCTGTGGGACAGCCACCATGCAAGAGCTATTTTCCCTGTTGCCTCAAAGCTAAGGTAGCCTTCATGGCTGCAAGTAACTGCCTAGTAGCCCACCTGCAGCTGCCCCATGTTGAAGGACACTCCATTGCTTAAGGCTTTTTCATCAGCCAGTTTGCCTTTAATGAGGGATTAGTTTCACAGCTTTGATCTTGCTTGTCTGAGAATCTCAAACCACTATGGGAATCTCAAGTTAGGCTTTTGGGAGTGGCATGGTTAAGTACCTTACGATGGCCTCAGAAGGCTGGGATCAATCTTTAAGCTCATCTCTCCTAATGAAAAAGAAGTCCCAAGGCTGTCTCAGCCTTGTTCCAAACTAGAAGGCAGAGACAGTTGGGGAGGTACAGATTATAGTGTCATTGGTGACTTGGTAGTTGTGAAGGGCACGAGGTTCATTGGCGATTACTCAAAGACACCATGGCCTTAGTTTGCCCAGAACCAGCCACACAGAGCTGTGGCCTGAGTGGTCCGTTCAAGGGCCCAAGCCAGGGCTCACTTACCAGCCAAGTCTGTCCTGCCGATGGCCACGAGGCCCTCAAACAGTGCTTTGCTGGGGTTCTTCCCAGCTGTGACCACACCATGCAGCCAGGTGAGCAGCATCCGGTGACCATGCTCCTGGTAGCTCCTGGTTCCTGGAGATAATGAGAGTAGAGGCCACCATGGCTCCTTCCCTGAACACGCTTGAGCTGCCCTCTGTAGGGAGACACTGTAGCCCCACCTCCTAGCAGCCCCTACAGGTGTGTCAGGCCACGCCCCTGAGGGGAGGTCAGGGGAGGTCGAAGATGACCCGGAGAGAATTCTTAAGAGGCCGCGGACACTTGGATGCCCCTGCTCTCTGGCCACACTAGCTTGCGGCCTCTTGGCACGCTCTGGCTTGCGTTTGGGCTGGTGTTTATCTGAATAAAGAAATCTTAGCCTTACAGATCAACTTTGAGCGCACACAGCACGCAATAGCCTTCTACTGCATCTTAAATGCACCCAGCAGGAAAGAGGCCTTTCTCTGCTATAGGTGGCCTGGGTTGGAGGTTAGGGTTAGGGTACAGCTTCTCAGATGGGGTGGGTGGGTGACTGGTGTCTCAGGCTGAAGAAGTTCCACAGCCTCAAGTTTTCTCTGAGGCATCTACTTGCCTACTCTAAAAAAAAATGGCTTATGTCTTCAAGGTACTAGGTACCCAATTATATGCTTCATCTCTAATAGACCACAGCCCACGCCTTGGGCACATGTTGGATCTAACATAAAGATTAAAAACAGCCTAGTGAGAGGCAGCTGGCTATGTCTTTGCCCCAACTGGTTCATGGTTCTCAGCCTTAGATGTTCATTAGAAATCTCTAAAATTTCTATCTACTTTTGGCTCATCTATTAACAATACATAGTGTTTGTATATTTCAGCCTGCAATTTATCTTATCTTGTATTTAAGTATTTCATTCCGTTATCAATTCCGTTTTTCATTTGATTCTTCTGGACTTCCTCATATATGGGAATTATATCATTTGAAATAAAGAATTTGTTCTTTTCCTTTTCCAGTATTTATGTCCCCCCTCCCCCGTGTGTGTGTGTTTATGGTACATGGGTGTGTGATGTATATGAGTGTGTGTGTGCATATGGTGTGTGCACCTGTGCCCTTGCATGTGGAGGTCAAAGGGGGGTATCGAGTGTCCTGCTCTCCTGCATCACCCATCCTCTTACTCCCTTGAGACAGGTCTCACTGAAGCTGAAGCTTGTTGTGTTTGGGCTGGCTGGCTAACGAGCCCTAATAATCCTTCTTTATCTGCACATCCCAGCACTGAGGTTAAAGGTCATGCCCAGCTTTTCATGAGGGCCATGGGTCTGATCTCAGGGCCTCACATTTGCACGCCGAGTGCTCTTACCCACTGAGTCATTGCCCCAACACGATATTCTTTATTTCTGTCTCTTTTTCATGCTTTTGTACCAGGGTCCAGATGTCTAAACTTATGTTAAG